TCGAGAAAACCGCCGGCAAGATGAATTACTGCAAATTATCCAGTTAGAACTTCGGGGACTTTGAAACAAAACCAAAGGCGTGGATGGGCAGGATAAAGCGGTCCGCAGACGGGCGGAAGAGGGTGGGAATTGCTGACGATTTAACGAGTGGCCGGGCAGAGCTTCATCCATCTGCCGCTGCATTCATATACGGGTGTAGATAGGATGTGCATTCCCGGAATCTGACAAAGTAGCGCATTCCTTTGGATCGCTAACAAACACAATTGTTCGCATAAGCCGCAAGTCTTGAGTTGCAAAGCTTTAATTTCCGGGGAAAACCAAATAATTATGCAATTTTGGGTTTTATACATAAGAAGAGACCGCTGTATTATCCACTACCCTCTTGTCCCAGTTAACAGAAAATGAATCTCAAGGATACATAAAGAACCATTTCGTATTTTCAAAATCATAGAACTAGAAATATTCAATCTTTGAAAAATTATTTTCATAAGCCAACCTAAATATATTCCCATGAAAGAGTTTCTGTTCGATCTCTACTCTTAAAATTATTTACTATATATCATTACAAATCTTAACAATAACTCTTCATACTTTCTTTTCGATTAAAACTAGTAGAAAGGCTCAAATCTTTAACACAAAAGGCGGTCCTTTCTTTTTTCTTCACATAAAAATAACATAGTTATTATTGCTATATCAATAAATGTATTTAATATTCTCATTTAACGAAAAATACTTACAGATGCTAAATCTTAAACCCAGTAGATTCTCCTTGACTTAAAGTATATACTTACCCAATATTCAAAGAGTGAAACTGCTTCCCTTGACTGTGAAAAAGTGACTGTGAGGCACTTTAACCTTTCCGCTATCCAGCCTGCTTTTATTTTTTTTTTTGGTGGTCACTGCCTAATTCTTCGGTGGGCGGGGGCTCAAATAAAAATCACCCGCAGCACTCTTTGTCGGCCACATTCATTAATGTCAACGGCAGTCGCCTCGTCTAGGACTCACTGTAAGCACATAATGTGCCACAAAACGCATAAAATACATACAGACGGGCACGTACATACACAGATGTCTGACACTGTAGTCATCGTCTGAATTTCTGAATTCCGTCTGTATTCTGTATTCTGTAGTCTGTAGTCTGTAGCCTGCCCGCTGTTTTATATAACGATTACGATAATGAAGCGTCGCCGTTTCCACTGAGCGCAGCATTTTTGTACACAAAATGAGCCAAATGAATGGCCCGGCTTTTGGGCGGTTCGATGGGAGGTGGGCGGTCGGGGTGGAGTGGGCGGAGGGGGCGGTCTGGGCGGCAATGGCGGTACAGCATCAACGTCTGTCGTTGATGGCTTTTTGAAGTTCTCCGCACTGGCAGGCGGCGCAATGATTGGGGATTATGACGAATTAATGAATTCAGATTTAAATAAAATTACGCGCGCCTGCTTGTTAGTGGCACACACATTTATATACACTTGCGGGCAAGATAATAGCACATTTGGCTTCTTTTAATTGCCAAAGTTGGTCAATTAACTGTGGACCTTTAAGTAAACGTTGCTTGTGTCAAGCTTTTTTGTTTGAAAGTGTGATTTTAAGTGCATTAATTAAAGTTTTTTTTTATAAATCTTTTATGTATCACTATGATAAAAGTACTACAAACTTAAAAACACATTGATATATATTTTATTTTTATTATAAAAACAAAAAATTCTATAAATGTATGTTTTTAAACTCAAAACAAGATTGTTTCTAAGTCGTTCTTTAGTATATTGCTCGCATTTCAAACCGCTTAAGAATATTATAGGGCTCCTGTATTTTTTTCTCTGTAAGCCGTTTATATTGCGAAATATTCCCACAGCGGGGATTTGCTACTATATCAACGGCTACTGTAAACAAAATTATATACATATCGGGCACCACCTCCCCCCATTTACTGTTGCTGTTCATTTAACGTTTGCTAATAGAATTAAAGTTTGCGGTTGCTGGAAATGGAATGGGGGGTGAGTGGGGAAATTGGAAAATCGGGAAAATGGGTGGCATAATGAGCTGGCCACCGATCCGGGGGCAGTGTAATTATGACAGCTATCGGTGGGGCGAAAGGGGCCATTCGGCCATTTGGCCATCGATGGGCGGACATTAACAACAGGCCGCAATTCGAGCGCAGTGTTCGCGTTTCCAGTTTTGCCCGCTTAATTAACAACAACAATTGCAATTGTACTGACACGCCCGCCCCCCCCCCCCCCCCCCCCACATCCGGTAGTCCTGCGGCCCACCGCCCCCTTATCCTTGCAGCACCTGAGCTGGCAATTTTTGTGTCATTTGGCGCGTGTAACCTTCGCCGTTCGTTTGTATTGTGTTGCGGCATTGTTGTTGATTGTTAATTGAAAAACAATGTTGTAGTTGGTTTCATCGGCGGCTGCACTTGAAGAGCTGCGAATTGCGAGGCGCGAACAACAGCCGCACTACACGGGAAAAAATATGGGATTAAGAGGTATAATCCTTTTGTATGTAATATGAATTATACGGTATTTTTGGCTAGGTAAAAATATATCATTCCTTTTTTCAGACTGCTTCAAAAACATATTATAATGTGCGTTTAATAAAATACAGAAAAATACATAAATCTACCTAAAGTCTTTAATTGATTATCCCTATTTTATTTTTCTTAAAAGAAAAATGGTGTAATAGAAAGAGAATTATAATTAAAATAGACTTTAATTCTTTAATATAAATTGCATTATTATTAATCAAATATTTTGGCTACTAAAAGTAACTGCCATCATCATTTCATAAGGATACAATCCGATTTTATTTATGAAAATTAATAAATGCACTTTGATACCCAAGGGACCGATTATTTTTTCCTGTGCAGCTACTGAAGCTGTAGAATTTCCCAGCGACTGGGGACGAGGGCGGAAAAGTGCGGCGCAAGCTTAATTAATTTTTATAAGGCCGCCTTCGCTGGCATCGTGGCTGCATTTTAATTACAGTGCACAGGAGTTGCGAGTTGCCTTAAGCGCATTGATTAAGTTTAATCAATGGCCCATAAGCAGGCAGTCAGGCAGGAGGAGATTGGCCAAATGGCAGGTGGAGGGGCTGGTGGTTATCCGGGGTCATCTTGCAGCTCGTTAAAGGCCGCATCGCAACTTTGACAAGAAATGTGCAATTAGCAGTTGAGCGAGCGAGTAGTGGGATGAAGGCAAAGTTGTCACATTATAATATTGAATGGCAGACAAGAAAGCCCTTGGGACCGAGCCAAAGGAGTAAAGGAAGCCAAAGGAATTGAGGTGGCATTATAAGACATTCGCCTTATTCGGATTGTCACCGGATCAATTGGAAATCACTTTAAAATTGTCATTAAAGTATTAGTTCAATTGCTCAAAGATTACGTTTACCCATGCAATCAATGTAAGCATTTATAATTTCAATAATCACACACACTAAATTTAAAGCGTTTAAATTAATACGTTTATCGGCTAATTGGGCAATTTGTGTGACGCCTTTTTAAATGTGTGGGTTTCAAAGTATTGTAAAGGCAAATGATATAGCTTTAGATTTTAGTCACAACTCTATACCATATTGTTAAGTAAGTGATATTTATCATATTAGAATTACAAAATATTTCGTTTTTAGGAATTAAAATTCATACTACCTAATTAATTATTTTCAGTTTATCAAATAATCATTTTTAAAACCATTGCAAATTATTCGTTTTAATTGAAAGATTGAATTCTAAGAATTTGCTGCTCTTTAGCAGCTAAATATACTAATTAGTAATTATTGGGAAATTGTAAGCAATTAAAAAAATATACATATTAAAAACCATTATAAGCTCTAAGCTAAAGTCAGACTAAATCAAAGTCAATTCGACAATAACCTATTACATTACAAATTCGTAATGAGTGTTCTAATCTGTTGCACAGATAAGTTATCATCTAAACAATGGTATTAATTGCGAACACAAGTAGCTTAAGCCATCAAAGGCATTCGATAATTTCCAATTAAACAATATCAATAATAGCCTTAATTAAGACCAAACAAAATATTATGAAAATAAATATGACACGTTAATGTCTGAATACCAAATGCATTTGATATCTGTCATCTACCATTAATGCCTCAATTTAACCAACGCACAATTCCCGTTGGCCAATGCAATTGAGCCTCAATCTGATTGTGATGGCCAATTTAGCAGCACATTCGGTGCATTCATTTTCTGCGTCAATTAAAATATCAAATGACAGCCGGTCGTTGGGTCAGTCAGTCAACCAGTCAACCAGTCATTCAGTCAGTTGGGGAGTTCATCATTCCCTCATGTCCAGTTAGCGGGTCTGTAATGAGCCAGTCAGCCAGTGGAAAGTCAGCGCAGTTAGTTAGTTAGTTAGTGCGCTGGTTTGACAGTCAACTATCATTATAAGTTCTTTTGCGCCATAATGGGTAAAAGTTTTGCGCCCTCTTCAAAGCGGTGGGCGTTGAAAGGGGTTGAGTATTATAGGGCGGATGGTTTGGTCACTCCTCCCTTTCTATATATATATATATGTGTGTGTGTTGGCCATTGTGCGCACTCACTTTGCAATTAGCAGCAGTTTTGTCTGCTGCGAACATTTATTCAGGCCATTAATTGAGTTGCTCGCACCGAGGAGGCAAACTTCGAATGCTTATGCACCAACTGAAACAAAGAAGCGAACAAGTGCAGCAAAGTCGCGGAAAATGGGTTGGGAAATGAAAAATGGCCACTTCTTTTTGCCAAGGGAAAAGTGGAAGAAGCAATTCCAAGTCTGTTAAAAAATACTTGATACTTATCAAATCAATACAACTTTTTGACCATCTATGCCTTTTATAACTAATTAAAAATATTGCTTACTTTATTATTTATATATATTAGTTTATATTAGTATTAAGTTTTACTGGTGGCATATAAAACACTATTGAAAATTTATATTTAAGTTTAATTTTTTCATCTAACATATCTAATAAACCCCCTTTTTCCTCTTTACTATTTGCAGATCGAGGATGCCATGTTGATGTTTGACAAGCAGACCAATCGGCACAGAGGTGAGTTTTTTTTTAATATCGTTATCGCTATCGCCATCGCTGGTGGTGCGCAACAATGCCACAAAGCATTTGCTAGCCCGTTTCCGGACTTTAACGAGCCGGAAGTGCGAGAGCTTAGCAATGCACATACTCAAACACTCCTACACTCTTTCACAATGTCAATGTATCATGCATGGCAGGATGCTCATAAGCAAGGGGCTAATACAGTTTTAAAACGTTGTCGGGGCATTAAAATGACCGGGCAACAGGATGTAGAAGGACCCGAAAAGATTACCTGCCAATGCAACCGGATATAAGGGCCATAAGAGACGAGGCATCCTCCTGCGATGGTGGATGGGAGTGGATGGGGGTGGTGGGTTGGATGGTGGGTGGTTCAAAGGTGCCCAGTGGGCGGTGCAGGCGAGCGAGGTCAGCAGCTGAGGTGCGCTGGCCGGCAGAAGGCTTAAATCTCCAGTGTACATCCGCTACACGAACTTGTAGCGCACGACTGCGTCCATTGCGTTTGTCCAGCTGTCCGTCCGGCATCCGAATGGCTGTCAGAATGTCCGGCTTGCCGTGCACTGCCAGAAAAGTCGACTGAGATCAGGAAATAGCTTTGAAAACCGGTATAAATCTGCTAACCAGCGGTTCTTTTAGTTTAAATTCCCCAAAAATTTAGAACGTTTTTATAAACTACCTAAGCCCATTTGAGGAATATTTGGATAAAATAAGTTTAAGTCAATGAAACTATATAAAGAAATCAGCAGACAATAGGGCTACTTTTGTGTTGTCTTCATAATAAATGGGGGACGAAAAATGATATGAAGAAATATGAAAAATGTATACTTGCAATAGGTTATAATGTCACATTTATAACATGCTGTGAACAAAGTTGTACTTTGTATTCTTTTTTTGTGGCTTTTCCCCCAGTGCGTGTACATTTGGGGTCCTGTTGTGTCCTGCGAAGCCTTGTCGTTGTCAATTTTGCTTATTAAAGTTTTAAATGACGCCCCGAATTTCGCATTGCGACCGGGACCCGTCTCGAATCCCATTGACATGTCCCTCTGGCCGAGGAGGTGGGTCCTATCGGGGATCCGACAACAACCTGAGACACGGCGCATTAAGATTGATGTGCCCAATTTTGCACAAACCAAAAACACACGCTGGGCCCACATCCACATTCACAACCACAGAGGTCCTTGCCACTGCTCAAAAGTAATTAGCTCACACGGATACACGAACAGCCGCATGCATCAATAGTTGTGGGTGCACAATCATTGCGCCACTTGCCCGGCACCACCCCCTCACAGCCACCCCCCGGTATCCACCCCACCGGACATTGTTAACTTTTGCGCCCTTCAAATTACGCACACGGGAATAAGAAAACATGATTTTTGCTTGTGCGCGGCCCATAAAAAATTGTAGCATACTTCTGTGCGCCGCATCGCAGATAAGCGCAAAAAAGAATGGGCGTCGAAAAAGGGGGTCGTGAAAAGTGGAAAGGGGCGGGAGCTACAGAGATAGAGCCGTGGGCCCACAGAACATTTCGCTTAATTGGACGCTGGAGTACGCTGAAACTGCATGATGATGCAGTCATACATACATAAAAACCGGAAAAAAAATGAAACGAAGGCTTGAAAGTGGGCGTCGGCAGCCAATAAAAACAAATATGAGGCATTTTAAAAATAATGCGAAGGCCGCCCAGTCATCGCATTAAAGATTTAGGCACTTGGGGGCCAAACAGCAGCGAAGAGTCATATAAATGAGTTCCACAAATTTTTAACGAATTTCCGGCCAGCTTTTTTCGACTTTTCCAATTAAAAGTACAAGGGCAGAGATTTTTTCATCGTACAGAAAGAATTGGTTAAGTTCTAACCGTATTGAAAAGGAAAGTACCCATCATATTACTAATGTACCCTTGCATTATATCAATTCATAATGGTATAGGACAAAAAAAAGATTGCCCCATTAAATCAAAACGTTTTGGCCAAGAAACCATAATGACTCTGGCTAACCACTTGAAAGAAAATTTCCACGAATTACCCGCTTTGGCGCATATTGTGATTTGCCAATTTGCCAATTAAAAATGCATTGGCTGGACAGTTTTAGCCAATGACACGACCCATTGCCTGAGCAATTCATTTTGGCCGGGACATGTCAGCCTTGCAAATTACAATTGCGTGCATCGATCGCCGGATGAAATATGCAGGTTGTTACTTCTGGCGAGCGGTGAAAGCCAACTGCCCAACTTCACAGGCGACCGACCAGCGGCCAAGTCAATAGAAAATGTGTGTCGTTAATCAAAGGGTATTAGTTGTAGCAGGAGCCCCCTCGCTGGAGGATGGGTTTTTAGCAGGACGAGGACATCGATGGCGACTTTTTGTACAGTCGGACGATGTACGATGTACGACCTTATTGCCATGAGGAGTCGGAGTCCGTTGCCTACTGGCACTTGCGATATGCCTGTAATTGCATTTTATCGATCCGATCCGAGAGCCCCCTATATATGTATCTGCATCTGTATGTGTATGGCAATTGCCACGTACACATACACACACACACACACACACGGCAACTATAATAAAGAAGGGGCAACGGAAAAAAGAAAATAAAAAGAAAAGTGGAAAAGACGTCTTTGGTTGCTCCGGCAGCTACACGGCAGCAAGTTTGTTACTCATTCATAAATCATGTGTGCAGCCCAGCGACACACACACACACACACCAATGGACGAGCGGACATATAGACAGATAGACAAATAGACAGACATCCTAACATGGTGGCCCAGAACTCACCCGAATCCCAAGCTCACAAACACCCAGCACACATGTACATCCGTGAGCCTGGTCACTGAAAATTGCACCGGCGTTTTTCCAGCTAACAAGAGCGGCAGCAGTTGGCCCAGAACTACAACTACAACCGTTTCATAGGGATAAAAAATAACAAGATATAGGAAGCGATATATGAATATGCCATAAAACAATATAGGCAGGCCCGAAAAGCAATAACAACAACGGGAATGACAACAACGCGGGCGAGGGCAATTGCAATTACAGTGGAGACAAGCTAGGGGGAACCATTTTAAACACGATTTGAAATTGAAAAGGAGGTATATATTGAAAGTAAGGGATATATACTAAAAGCCTATGAAAAAGTTCTCTTGAAAGGACATCTGAACTGTTTTCAGTTGAACAGATTTATTTATAAAATTGAAAGCGATTAACAAAAAAAATCACTTCCTTTGGGAACAGCTTACATTTGAGATACAATAGGAACGTTTTAATATTTTTGGTAATATTTGTATTGACACATTCAAAAGTACCTCATGTACCTTTCATTTAAAACAACATAATTCCCATTTAATAATAACAAAATACTTCCCAGCGGGCTGAACAATTTTAAAGTCCTTATTAAAGTTCCCCTTAGGCAATCTTGTCTGTACAAATATAGAGTTCAAAACAGCCGAGCTGCGACCGAAACTATGCTATGAATTTCATTTGGCAAGCCAAGGACATGCCCAACGTGCGCCTAAGCAGCCCGTTGTGGGTGGTGGTTGGGTGGCCAATGGTAGTTTCAGTTGGGTGGGTGAGTGGGTGGTGGTGGTGCAGAGGATCGGGGCAACTTTTGGGGGCCGGCTCTGGCAGTTGGCGTCGCCAGCCGCCACTAATATTAAAATTGAAAATTTTGTAATTTTTCTTTTTGGCAAGCCGGCGCAGCGCAGTCATAACAGCAGCTGGCTTTGGCTCTTACCCCCCCCCTTAGCCCTGCCCCCACCAAAAACCCCTCTACCTTTCGCCTAGAGCATATATCTGTGTCCGCTTCTTGGCAATAACATGCATGAGTGTGCAATTTTTGCAGTTGCCAAGACCATCGTCAGCTCCTATCGCTCCAGCGCCGTCCTGCGGGAAATTTTCGACAGGTAAAAATGGCAATGGCGGACGGGCTCAAAACTCAGACTTACCTCTGGGCCAAGAGGCATAAGCCTCAAGCCACGAAATTAACTGGGCAACGAGCATTGCCTCATTCCTCATGCAACCCGGGCGCATTTGTATCTAGCAGATACATTTTTGATTGAGTTACGTGCGGAGCGCGGAGCTAACCGAAAATGGCCGGCTCCATTTGTTCCGCGGCTGATTTATGAAGTTGCAGCGGAATAGAAGCCCTATGAAACTTGAGAGCCACAGAGCAAAATGGGCTATTCAATTAGGGTTTTAAAGAATTTCAGAACTTTCTGTTACTTTAAAACCAAAAACCTTAAAAAGCCTTAGAAACCTCAGAAATGTCTTTACTTTGAGTGTTGAGTGTTACATAAGGTGTCTAAAAATATGCAGTGAATATAGGACTTATTGAACTTCTAAGTTTAAAATATATTGTTGCATACTTTAAGACACCTAAGTGATTTTTAAACCCAAATGATTCGTGTGAAACCACCGTATAATAACGCTTTTAAACTTTTTATACTCTTGGAGAAGTATATTATTTTATAATCAAAGTGTGCGAAGTAAGGCTTTAAACATTTTATATTCCATAAGTATATCCTTGCAGAAGGACTTCGAATTTTTTAAATAATAATCCTTTAAAACATTTAAAAAAATATATTTTACTGTGTAGCTAACGTGCAACATTGCAACGTGCGCTAATTTTATATAATTAAAGCAAATACAAACACACTCCGGGGCGCTAAGGAAGCAGCCCGCACGTTGTCTCAAGGAAAAGGACCTCGGAGCTTCTTCAGCTCGGCACATGTCGCTAATAAGCCTGCGTGTTTACTGTTACTTGTTTCAACTAATTTGTCAGTTACGCCCAGCTTGGCCACGCCCCCCATTCCCCCCCTTCCTCCCAACCGCCCACCGCCCGCACGACAAGGCAAACACACGTACACAAACAAAATGCGGGCGCCGGGGCATCAGGTGTCTGCACTTGGCCTTGCTAATTGCACAGAGAGAGAGCCAGAGCCCTTCTTTTTCGGCCATGTGAAATCTCAGACAATTGCGCTAATTGAAAAGCCCCGATAAGACCGAAGTGGTGAAATCCGTGGGAGGAAGAAATCGGAGGAGAAAACAGGGCCTTAAGAGGATAGCGAAAGCCTGAAAGGGAATTTTATAGAACCCAATCAGATGGGAAGTTGCAACTTACTTTGGCCTCTTTCAAGGAGTGACTTGAACGGGTTTTAGAAGGAGTAGCAATTATCAAATATATAATTAAGCCATTGCCTCTACGTTTTTGGATCCAAACTATTGATTACTTTGCTTAAGTTTGATAGTATGTGATGAAGTTAGGTATTTAAAAGCTTATAAATAGCAATTTAACATCCCCAGAATGGAATGTATTATAAAATAGATATAATTGCTTAAAAGAAATTTGCACTTAAAGAAGTTAAGACAGTTAGCCAAAAGCATGGCCATAGAACCCATTCCCAGAAAAACCCTTTGGTGAAAAGAAAGTCAAGCAACTTAAACTTTCGCCAGCACAAACTGCAGCGGCAACAAATGGAAGAAATTTAATTAAGCCATAATAAATCCTTTACCAATTCTGGCCGTAAAAACCCCCCGAATGACTTGACATTCCTGGAATTTAAGTTCTTCGTCAGCCTCCAATTGGAAGATATCAAAAATAGCTCCACTGGCCGGCCATTAGGACAAAGTTATTATGCCCGATCCCAAGGCGGTCGTCGGGGGGTTAAGGAGGCGGGTTAAAGGGGGGCGGGGTCCTGGCTCAGTGTCCGCTGGCAAAAGTTTATTATGTAAACTCGGAGCGGCCAGTGTTTGAATTACTCGCCCAGCCGCCACTTGAGGCCCTGCAGGCGATGCATATTGAGGTCAGCCGGAGGACAGCCTTCCTGTCCTGAAATGGAGGAGGTTTGGAAGGGGTTCGGAAGGGGTTCGGAGGGGGCTTTACAAGGGGGCACCGCCTCTGTCTCGGTCTCGACACTTGAGTAAATTATTTAGCCGCTCGCTCACACAAAAGCATATTTCGTTCAATTTTTGCAGCCCTTAAACTTTTTTGCCCACTCTCACTCAAACTCACTTTGCTTCTTTTCTCTTGCAGGTTTTGGCTTCGTTACATTTCAAAGCGAAGATGTGGTAGACAAAGTTTGCGAAATTCATTTCCACGAGATAAACAACAAAATGGTAAGTGAAGCGTAGCGGTCTGAATCGCAGCCGAGGAGGTTTATCCCCTCACTCAGCTTTAAGTTTTTATTTGGCCATATAGAGGAAAATACTGCCCTAAATCGGTCATCAATTTGGGATTTTATTAAAGCGGATTAGAAGTGCCTCCAACATTTTGCTGGAAAATGTATAGAAATAATATTGTCAAGCAAGTGCAAGGTCAAAAGCCCAATATGCAAATCTAGATCTCTTTGTTTTTGGGTAATAGGATTTTTAAGCAGTTTATAGACTTTAATTAAAATATAAGAATCTTGAGCTTCAGTATTAGTCTAGGCAATTTGGCAGTTCAGTTGATGGTAATGTGCAACTATCAGTTAGAATAGGGCCGATTTCTCAATTTAAAGTTAAGGTTATTATTTGCAATCGTTTCATAGTCTGTTAACATGATTGAAACAAATTTCAACTAGAAGCTAGAGTCTAGCAAAGAGCTTTAAGTCAGATAAAACATTACTAGATATCGAAAAAATTGAACAGGACATTGAGAAATGGGACAAACTTAGGCCTTGCTTAATTTATAAATTAAAAAATGTATTTTGGAAAATGTAAGAGATCTTTTATAATCCCTTATTCTATCCTTTCAGGTCGAGTGCAAGAAGGCGCAGCCGAAGGAGGTGATGCTGCCGGCCAACCTGGCCAAGACGCGGGCTGCCGGACGCTCCGCATACGGTGAGTTGGTAGTCTGGGGCAGCAGCCACGCCCATTCGACGGCGGCCACGTCCGCCGCCGCCGCAGGCTTGCTGCCGAGTAGTTTAGCCGCTGCCGCGTCCGTGCTGCAGCAGCACCAGCAGCAGCAGCACCAACAGCAGCAGCAGCAGCAACAGCAGCAGCAGCAACAGCACCATCAGCAACAGCTGCACCACACACACCCACAGTCACCCGCCCACAGCCACGCCCACGCCCACCACCCGCACACACACACGCACAGTCAGTTGTTGAGCTCGCTGCGTTACACACCCTATCCGCTGCCCGCCCACCTGTCGGCGGCAGCAGTTGCAGTTGCCGCCCAGCAGCAACACCAGCAACAGCAGCAGCAACAACAGCAGGTTGTGGCCGCCCAACAACAGCAACAACAGCAGCAGCAGCAGAGTTTGGCCCAAGTGGTGGCAGCTGCAGCTGGTGCCGCTCCTGGTCTTCTACCGCTCGCCAATCCCGCTCCGCCTGCCGCGCCCTCTTTGCTGCACTTTGCAGCGGGTCAGAGCAATGCCGCCTTGGCCAATTCCCTTTATGCAGATGCGGCGGCTGTTGTTGGCTATAAGCGACTCTTGGCAGCAGCGGCGGTGAGCAGCGGTCTTCGGGCACCGACCAATACCGCCTTGGGCGCCCTGCAAGCTGCCGCTGCCAACAATCCCGCCGCTGCCGCTGCCGCCCAACTGCAGCAGGCGCAATTGCGTCAGAATGCCGCCCTGGCCGCCGCCCACTATCCGCTCAGCGAACTGCTGGCCATGCAGGGCGGCATGGAGATGGGCGCGGGCGCCAATTCCGCGGCGGCAGCAGCGGCTTCACTGTACCAGCTGCCCGGAATCTGACCGCCCAGGCCACAGTGAGCCCTCTAAAGAGTGTACTTTAGCACAGAAATACCTTTCGAATCTTCAACATCCAAAGATATTCAAGCTATGCCAGCATTTAAAAGCCCTTTCAGAAGTTCGGGATTTAATTTGACTTCTAAGCTGGAATATTTAATTAAAGTATTCAAAAACTTAGAATTTTCTTTTAAGCTTAAAGTCCTTTTTTCAAAACTCTTTCCAAACCCCTTCTTGGTTGCATTAAAAAGCTCATAGAAGCTCATACTGCCTGTAATCGGATTAAATAAAATATTAAATGATGCACAATATCTAAAGAAATAATCAACTGAAACAAGTTTCAGTTCATCAATTTTATTTAACATTTAATAGACTAATAATTAAATTTGAGGCAATAGTTTTAAAATCAATATCCATTAACAATGCAACCATATAAATTTTCTATGAATTTTTAATAGACCACAAATTCTTTTTTTCTATATTTAACAGTGCAAAAAGCTATGATTAAACTTATTATTCTGGCTTTAGTTAACTCAACTTTCAATTAATTTAAATGACTACAGAAATTCCTAAAGATTTCAGGGCTTTCCCAAACTTTCACTATCAGATGATAGTTCTGCCAACCCCTATCCTACCAGAAACACACCCACAAGACACTCTCAGAACTCAACTACACCTATATATATATGACTCTCATTCCGTCTCAATGTCCAAAAAATATGTTAAGCGGCTAGGCCTAGGATTACGTGTACTTCTACTTACAATTAGCCATGTACTTACTTATGCCACATGTACTATATATATCGTAACTTATATTTTGTGACTGTCTAAGCTGCGTTTAGGCCACGCGGCGTATGCGTTATTTAACTAAATTACTCAAATAGCGGCGCATTCGTTTTCTTTCCTTAGACTCTAAGCGAACTTGACTTACTTAAGATATATCTAGGCTAAGTGCAGGTCCTAGAGAGCTGCTTAGATTTTATCGAGGCCATCGATAAACTTAGACCTTAGACGGCGATCGTAATATGTCTTAGACACCTGACGACTTTTTCTAGAACTTAAGAATGTAACAAAATACGAACAATGTTTCAAATTAAATAACAAAAAAAAAGTCATCAGCTCCATAGGAAACATACTCCATTTATGTTTTAAAACGGATTCTCTTGTATATCGAACATTTTCTTACAACTTATACGTAAACTCATATCAATAGCTGTTTAAAGGCGTATTAACCTAGAATCGAAGCCAAAAAAGCGAATCGGATTCAAACCTAGCAAATGTATCGAATTAGCGATTAAGTTGGATTAAGTAAACCAGCCGAAGGAGGCCGAGCCAGTATTAGAAATGCGATGTGTGTAACGAAGTTTACTATAGTTTTGAAAAATTGATGACCGAACTGGGCAGATGCCATCGTAGCGGCCGGACAGCTGTCGGAGTGTAATTTTCCGAAATGGATCATGGATAATGGATGTGTGCAATGGCAATGCATTCGGTCCAATTACAGGGCCCTGGCAAATTACGGCTCAGACAGCTGATGGCCAACTCCCCCAGCTCCCAGTTCGAGTACTCATATACAAACACATATTGTTTGCCCATAGCCATTAATATTTGACTAAACTCGAAACTAGCTATTTATTATACATGCATAAATAACCACATACACACATCTATTGCATTACGATAAGCGCATTAAGCGCTCAAATTCAAATTCAAATTCGAATCAAACTCAAATTCAACTCTAGTTAAATCCAGTGTAACATTAGCCTAAGCTGCAACAGTTGAAGGATGATGATATATGTACAGGAAACGAGCCGTCAGCAGTCCTTCGATGCCCAAGATGAACGAGAAAGTGATGGGGAAAGTGCTGAGAAAGCGGAACGGAACTGACCCCAGGCCGAAGCAAAATTTATACAAATTTTCTTGATTAACATCTAATAGCTGTCAACCTTCCTATATGCCCCCCTTTTAGTTGTAGTGTTTATCTAGCCCACATATTTATAGTTTTCTGTGTATTGAGTTTCGATTTTAATTATCCTTTTCCTAAGTTTTCCTAAATCATTAGTTGCGGTGCGGGGCAATGGCCTGGAGATATGGAGCATTTTTGTAGAAATGCACAACGGCAGGCCTTAGAATTGCCCCCACTCAAAGATTAACTCTAAAACATTTTATAATTAGACGAATTATTCAAATTTATACTCTTAGCATAGATACTAAATGTCTTAGATTATAACTACGTACATATCTAATAAGTGTTTAGAATTGTGTCATATCTACGGTATATCGAACAAATGTAACTCTACATATAACTCTATATAAACATAGCTCAAATCAAGGCTGTTAATGCAGAAAATAACAAAAATGGGGCTGAATTTATTCGCCCCCACTAGTTATGCACTTAAAAAAGAATCGAGTGCAGTCGCAGAACATTTCTTAGAACTCGAAACATATATAACTAGTATCTACATATAGCGGCAGTTCCTTAGTTGCCACTCACACTACTTAACTAGAACTCTAAGTACACATACCGATTACGAATAGTAAAGCAGTCGCTCATATTTACACTCTATAACAATTAGTCCTGATATAATCTCGATACTCTTTTGTTTGAATTCATTAGCTATGATATAATCGTGTGAGTGTCAGTAATTATCTGTTTTTATGCCTTTCTTTTCTGTGCTCTCTCTTGTTTTCCATGCGACTCCCTTAGATAACATCATGTGGGGACTGGGGACATTGCCCGAAGGTGAGAATTACAAATTATATATACAATATGATCCAATAGCTAACATATTTTGTATATTTCTTGGAACAGGTTTTCCGGCAGCTGCCTATGCTGCCTATGCCGCTGGTCGCGGATATTCGGGCTATCCCAGTTTTGGACTGCCCTATCCAACTGGTAAGTGCGGCACACACCCACATAGACACAATGACAACCATCAGCACACCCACACAAGCCTGAACCTGCACACATACTCGTACATACTCGGCCCCCCTGTTCATTACTTGTATGTGAGTGAGAGTGTGAAGAAACCCCAGTGACTACTAAAACCCAACATTATCCATTGAAACCGAAACCCCACCGAACCGCACCGTCTGTGCCACTTGATATGACGAAAGGCCTCGAGTCACTCCGATAACAACCATTAGCATTACTAACTCAACTAGAACTTGTGACGATTCGTTAGCCTTTAATGTGGTTGCCCGATTCGTGTCTCTTTCATCATCAGATACAATCGAACATATATGTTTCTTTACGTTTCGCTTGCTTTACTCTTTATTATTTCTCTTCTGTCTTTGTGTTTGCTTTTGCAGCGGGTGTGATGGGCGTAGTGCCGGAGAATCGGATACTGATTGGCGACTACATGGCCTAGGACGATCCCAGCCCCAAGACTATCTGTCGAGTATTACTCAGAGATCATGATCATTATTGAAATAAATCACTGTTTTCCAAAAACCAAAAGAAAAAACCAAAGCGTTCGTCATATCAATGCACAAATAGCCGAGGATCGGAAACAATCGAAAACTCTCACAGCATAAGCCTCTACATTTGACATCTAGTACCCCATAGAATTGAGTCCTGCGCATCCTGCAAATATATGTCATTGACGCTGCTTGGCCTTGAGTTTATCATTTGCCCACCACTGAACACACTGACCCAACACTGGCTACTAGGGCTTCTAGCTGATATGAACTGATCCCATGTCCTCGAAAACCCTCTGCCCGAGCTAGAAATGTAAAACTATCGATAGGAATATCGAAAAAATCGATTTATTTTTTGTTATATTTTACACTGGTCTTTTCGTTAATTAAGATGAAATCTGATTTATGAATTTGAGCCATTGTTATCGATAAAAGAGTTATTCTTTTCTTTCTTGCATCAATTTAAAATAAATGAACATAAAGACTACCGAGTATAGGTTTTCAGGATGTCCAAGGTCTTTCTATGTTTTAGTATGGTTTTTTATTTTAAGCCTTTATCAGGTACATCTCTTATCGATAGTTTTACAGCATCGGGCTTTTGTGCAGACTGTACCTTTCTGTTTGCCCCCTCTCTCTGTCTATCTCTCTTCATCTATCTTGTATCTCGTATGATTTTGTAGGCTTGACTATTTGCGGCATCGGTAGAAGTTATGGTACCGCTTGTAGCGCTGCCCCGGGCCGCAGCAGAGCTGCCCCCGCTGGCGCCGCCTCTGCTGTTGCGGCGGCGGGTGTCGCCCCCTCCGGTGGCGCCCCTGGCCACGCCCAGTCGGCGTACCACCAACAGGCGTTGACCCTGCCGCTGGCCACGGCGCTCACGGCTCGAACCGCGGCCATCAAATCGCAGTTTCTGGGCAACATAAATTTCTAAACGAGAACTTAAACCGAATCGCACAAGTCTGAGATTGAGAATGAGAATGCTAATGAGAATGAGAATGTGAGATGCAGAGTTCCGTTTACATTGCCGCCCTCTTTTCTGTGTCAAGTAACTATATCATTTGAACGGTGACAAGTAGGTACAGCCATTACAACTCCAATGCCAACAGCAGCTGGAAGAGATATGCAACCCAGAGCGTTAGTTTAGCTTGTAACTACGGTAAATGGTATAACCACTGCAACAACCAAAGTAAAAACCACTGTTAAGTCCACGGAAATACTCGAAAGTGGAGCAAACATGCAAAGAACTAACGAGAGATTTGAAAAGAACTACATAGAAAATGTATCTTCGACACAAACACACACACGCAAACACACTCTTAGAGGTGCAGTCTTTATAGCTGACACACAAACAACCACACATACGAAACTTACGTACTAGACTCTCCCCAAAAAGTATACCCCATATATTGTTGGAGCAGTTAACCAATTACCGCAGCAGTATCCGTAGTGACTAGAGGCATCCCCAAGTTATAAAAAACCTATTATATCGTATCTATAGAGCAGCTAGCACCCGTACTAACCAATCCTAGTGCAGTTCCGTAATCGGATGTAATCGAGTACTTAGAATCGTTTAGATCTAGGCCAGCATAATCACTCAAATACTCACAGACATGCGTACACTTAAGTATTTGTCTCTAGAACCCCAATTAGAAATGTGACACAGTACTTGTATAACGAAACTTTATAGCGAACTATACTCGATCTTCATGCGCTCCTGCTCACCCACTCACCCACTCGAAAATAAATATTTAGAATGTCTCGCTTTTTTACACCCTGACCTGTGACCATTTGTGTCCCGTTTCGGGGACGCATATCTATTATTTATAAAACTATTTTACCGTAGCATTTAAATGCAAATTTCATTTGTAGTCCCTGTATGCATAAATTAGTTGCTACCTCCCACACACACACACACACAACAGCAACGAGAGTGCACATGGAAAAACATTTAGATAACAACAAATTTTAGCAGGCCTGTCACATGTAGTGCCATTATTATCCTTTAATTAATTTGCTGCAAATTATGTATGCAATTTTTCCATTTGCCACAGCGCTTACCATATCCATATCCATTTCCCAGTCCGTTTTTGTTTGCGTTTTGTTTTTGCTTCCGTTGTTGTCGGTGGTCCCATGAGTTTTTAGATAATTAGCAAACGTGCAGAGATTTTTGCCATAGCTAAAGTTCATTAATTAGTAGATTTGCCCATTATCCGTAGATGTGTTATTCCGTTTCATATGTATTTGCAAACCGCATTTGGCCCACATACGAATTGAAGCCTTGAAGCATTCAAAACTATATAAATTCCTTCCTTCATCGGTGCATCGCAAGAATTCCAAAAATGGCTAACAAGAAAACCAAAAATACGAGCGAAATTTTTCGACATTTCTATTTAAAGTACATATAGACATTACTATATACATACCTATATACTATACCTTATATACATGAATATTTATATATACATATTTAATATACGACGTTTACAAACTAAGTTGAGTATTCATTTTATACGTGAAGCGTGAATCGATTTGATTTGTACAATAACGAAAAATACAATATTAATGTCCATCCATTTTCGAAGAGCAACTTAGCAGCGCCAAAAAAAAACAAAAAAAACTTAATGAAAAACCAAAAATCTCTCTTATGTTGATGAAAAATTCAATTTTTCTATGTCCTCTCCATGTAAGTCTCACCCAAAAACACACACTCCTAGCTATTTAAACACACACAGATCGGTCAATAACTCTATATAGATGGATAAGCTGTTACTTAGTTAATTGAATGCAATTATCGCAACTCTGTGGCATCCGGATGCCCGGGAACCGCTTCGAGGTATTTTGCAACTATTTAAATTGACAATTACCAAACGCTTGCGAGTTATTTACAAAAACCTATATAGCAAAAACACAGACACGAAGACACACACATAGACACACACACACACACCCAAACGCATATTCCAATATGTATTTTACACGTATATACTGTGATTTATAAGAAAACGCTTCAAACGAGAACAAGAATACCATTTGCTTGCGCAGAACCGAAATCGAAATGGAAAACGAAATCGAAATCGAAAAGTTATTAACTAAATAAATGCACAAAACTAAGATAAATAAAGTGAAAATAAAATAAATACGGATGCAAAGCCGAAACCAAAAAACCCAAGCAAAAGTCTATCCTTTTGGGGCCTCTGGCATTGGCTACCATTTCCAAGCCCTCGAATATTAGCAATCCGCAGGGGAGTGGAGTGGAATCGAAGGGGCCAAGTGAGTGACAAAGTGGCCATCGGGGCGTATGCGTAATATTCTGACAGCAACTTGGCAAGGACATTGCGGCAACAACGAAAGAAGCATCGGCAGGAACCAGAAAAGAACTGCGAGAAAGAACACTCCTTCAGTCAACAAGGTCAGCTAATGGTCGTCTTATTGTTCCAATGCATATTCGTACAAGCATTATACTCTTTTTATATACGTATATTCATCTTTATATTGAACCTATAACCGTTTTTTGGCTCCATATCCGAATAAATTTTCACATTTTACGATTATTAACTGTATGTAAACTGTTAGATGATAGAAAAAGTTTTAGCAAAGAGCGCAATAAAAACACACAAAATTGTAAACTGAACGCCCCACGTTGGGCGCCAGTCGTAGTTGACGAACATATATATATATTCCTGTGTAGTGCTCTTCCGTTTGAGAAACTTTGTTTTATGAAACATTTAACACACACATCAAAAACTAACAATACCAAATTAGCTCAAGCGTCGGACGAAAAAGTAGCTCGAAATAGCATTTAATTTACCGAAAAATGTATCGCATAACACATTCATTAGTAGCGAACAGCTGTAACCATTAAACATGTATAACCCTCCCACACACATATATAAGTATCTATTTTTATGTATTCCCTAGTTTTAATACAAACCCGCTGCCTGAAGAAAACTTTATCTCAAAACAGTGTAGTGATCATGTAAATGTCTTCTGTTGACCGATTTTGTTTGTGGAAATGTCTCAATTCAACCTTTTATTGTGGCCGTAACAGGGTTGCCAGGTCGACAGCTGGTAACAGTTGTTTTTCCGCAACCGCAAGACTGACAATTGCAATTTTCCCACAAACCCACAACCCTACCTCTTTTTCCCAGCGGAAACGCATTTCATGCAATGGCAGCCCGAAAAAAGAAAGAATCCCCGGCTAAATAAGTTATTTATTTACAAAAGGCAACTGCTATGGCGATTGCGATTGCTATTGCAATTGCTGCTGCCGCTGCTACTGCTTTTACGGGCTCTTTATTTCGGTTCGGATTGGGATCCGGGTTTTTCGGGCGCTTCTTTGTATCAGAGTTCCCAGACTCAACACTAATGAAAACAACATGGCGCACCGAGATTTCGCACAAAAACGTAAACTAAACGTAAGCCAAAGTTGATTGGCGCCATAAAACGCACAACGGCGATGGCGAAGGTCGTGGGGATGAGTTTTGGGGTGGGTTCTAAAGGGTTGTGGGTCGATAGGAAGTGGGCTTATAGGGGGTGCCATAAGCGAAGGACTGCCAGGGACATGCCTCGTTACGTTACGTCACGTTACGTTACATCAATTTTTGTGTTTCCGCAGGAAATGCAACTGCTACGTTTCCTCCCCCTCAAAACCCTCTGAAACCCCCTGCGAACCCCAGATATTCCCACTATATCCCTATTCCGATCCCAACCATAACCCGTTACAACCCATTTTTTCGCTTGCCTTCATTCACATTCGCATTCTGTTGTCATTTCAATATTGGCGCTGGCGTATTTTTACTTGCTGTTGCAGCTGTGACCATAACAAGGCAGAGCAGCCACAAAACACAAAAAAATGGGGGTAAAAAAAACGATAACAATGATAACAGGGCGAAAAAAGGGGGAAAACTGTAGGGGAGGGGGTGGAAAAATCCGAACAGGAGCGCCCAAAGGAAAGTGCACATCACTGGGCAAACCAAGCGTAGTAACTGAGTTTAGATGGGTTCGGATTGGTTTGGTTTGGTTTGGTTTAGTTTTTGGCTTTGGCTTTGTTTTGTCACTGTAGCGTCAACATCCCACCCCCCATCACCCCCACCAAAGCTCGTTTAATAACCGAGCACTTTGTGTTTTCATAACCTGCGTTCCAGTTAGCGCTTCCTCCCAGAAAACCCCCATCCACCCATCCCCCCAGACATCCATTTATACTTTATATATGTAGGTACTTCCTTTCGCTCTTTGGTTCGTCTTTTGTGTTTGCATTTGGCATCGTAGTTGTTCTGGGACTAGTTAGAGTTGTTTACTTTCGCTTTTGATTGTTTGCTTCCTCGGCACACCGATATAACAGAGCTATAGCTACATGGCTATATGGCCACATGTATTACAATCGCATACTCGAATACTCTCTCTCACTCCACACCCACTATAAATATATATAAGCCCACTATATATACTCGATCCCCCAACTCCCCTTCGTGCATACATACTATACCCCCCTTAGAGCTCAGTCTTGATTACTTTCGTATACTCTTGTGTCGCGGGCACCTTCTTTATGATGGGTGCCCGACTTTTACTTGCCTAGTTACGATCCACCGTTAGCCACCACGCCCCCACTAATGACACGCCTCTCGCCCTCTTTTGCCACTTACAGTTGATCTAACCAACGGGCAGCTGACCCCCAACAACAATACACCGCTGCTGACCCAGGCGCTGTCAGGTGAGTGACCCCATTGCGAAATGTTTGGTGGGTTGAAGGGTCCAAAGTTCAAGTGGAAGAGATAGTTCATTTAAATAGCGGTTCGAACCTGTTTAGTCAAAGTCATCTTCTGTGACTATTTACTAGTGTCAAATACTTTGGGTGCTGGACAAACAAATGTCCGTCAATCATTTAGGAATGAAATATGGGAGAAAGTAAATATCATACTTGATTGGCAAACATTTTTGCCCGATTAGACTTAATTGTTTCTTAGGTCTTGCTAAAAATAAGACAAATAGTTTATTTTACTTCGTTGAAGATTATACACATAGTACTATCATTATTGCTTATAGCTCTTGTTATCTATAAAATGTAATGTCGCATTAAAGTAGAATTGATTTCAAGACACTTGTCAACTTACTTCTATCCTACGTTATACTAAAATATATAGCTTATACGTACTGTTGTCCAAATTGAAGAAATTATTTATTTAAAAATTGTATTTTTGCCTCGAAAGTAGTGAATACGAGTGTTAACTTAGTAAACATTACTAAAGTATTTTTAGTAGAATTCAGATTATATGTGATATAATTTCTTAAACATTTGTTTTCCCACGTTTCTCAACTGGTTTTTTATACGAAACCCTAGAGAAATCCTGTTTCTAAGGGAGTTACAATATTTTTTTAAGAACTTTGGTGGGCTAAAACTTACTTTTTACAAGCCTTGGCTTAAATTTTTGAAAAATTCTCAGTGCCTTAACTTTTTTACTGATGTCATATTCCCGTTGTCCCTTTCCTGTTGCAGTGATGAACAACTATCAGGCGGCTGCCGCGGCCGCCCACAGCTATGGACCGTCGGCCTCGCCGCACGCCGCCGCCGCCAACACGGCCACCCGGCAGGGATTCCCGTCGACCAACTCGCCCGGCCCCACCATCGACATGTACAGCTCGGCGGCCGCCGACAACGTGGGCTACGTGCAGGCCACCAGTCCGCAGCCGTCCGGCTTTCCCATCGCCGTCAGCCGAGCCCCGTTGAACTACAGCCCGGTGAGTCGTCCTTTTGGTCCTGCGGCCAGGAGTGCTGGGTTCCGGGATCTCCAACAGATCTCTGGACCTGGGCCTACAGCTAGAGTCTAAGCCGGCGATACGAAAACATCCAACAAGTACCTCGAATCTCAAGATTAGCGATTCGATTCTGAATCCCTCAGACACACACACACACACACACTCGACTCACACATACTCATACCGTAGCGATAAGGAGAGACTGCCGATGTAGAGCTAAACTATTGCGTTATCCTTCTATATATTGTATGTATTTCTCTTTCATTTCGTACAGATTTATTCGTTGAACTTTGCGATGGCTAATATATAAAAGACTGATAACCCAAAAATATAAATGCAAGAGAACAAAAAACAAACAAAAAAGATATGCAAAAAGTAAAAGAAACCAATTATATATTTAAATCGAACAAATATATGAAAAAAAGATACAAATAAAATAAAAGCTAAACGAAAGCAAACAAAAGAAATAAGAGTATAAACAAAAACGCAGTTGCACAAGGTAGGCACACCAACAAAACTACAGCGTGTTCTCTTCTTTTTTCAACTAAACGATTTCAATTATTAACAATCAAATTCTTTTAACTACAACTAGTCAAACAAAAAAAAAAAAACATAATATTACAAAAAAAAAGAAAAAATAAATAAACGTAAAAATATGTATGCACGTCACAAGCACAGTTTTCTAGGCCGTTTCAATTAAACTATTATTATTTATTTAAATTGTATACACCATATATGTATTATATATGAATATATTCATACTTCAGTATTTCAATATTCCCATGCCTCGCTGCAAACTAAAATAAATCATATCGAAGCATATTTATTATCCATGGCTGTCGGCGAGGTTTGATAAAGGACATGACAATCAGTGGAATTCTCTGGAAAAATGCACTTTAATCAAATTAGTGCTTTTATGTTTCGGAAAGCAGTAATAAAAAAGAGCAATTTGGTAAAAAATGTTTATCTAACCTGTGATTTTTTATTCAATAAATTTCAATTTGGGGATAAGAGAAAAAAAGTGATTTGACTTTATGAATAGTATTGTAGTTTATTATGAAGTGAATTATTTTTGGAGAAGTTTTTCTATCATTTAAAATGAAAATTCAGATTGTTCCACCTTATCAAGCCTCGCCTTCTTAGATCTCTTTTTTAGTTTAACAATCAATTTGGAAATTTCTTAAAAACCAGATTTTACTTCTTCCGAAAACTTGCCACTTCTATTTCTATATTCAGTACATATATATGTATACCTCTTAATGTTTACTTTCTATATATCAATACTTATATACCTATACTTATATAAATACATACATGTATGTGTGTGCGTAGTTATGCAACTAGAAATTGCATTTTATTTGAATAATTTTTGGTGTTTGCTTGTTTTGTTCTCCACGAAACGTTTATTTACAGGGACCACTAATTCCTGCGGCATTTACAAATGGATACCATTAAAAGGTGGCGCCGACAACCGCAATGAGAACAACAACAACAACAACAGCAACAAAAGGCAGCAGCAGCAACAACAACAGCATTATTAACAACAAAAACAGCCACAGCAACAGGAGCAACAAATGCAACAGCAACTTTAGCAACAAATGACAGACACACACTCACACACAGTCACACACACACACTTACAAACTGCAGTGCTGCAACCACAGAGCGCAAAAAAAAGAAGAAAAAATAATTTAAAATTATATATACCTGCATATATATAAAAATATAAATCAAATAAAGTACATATTACATATTTGTGTATTCCCCACAAATGGCAAAAATGAAATCCGTTAAGCAAGAAAAACCGAGACAACTGCAAGAGCAACAAACAATAAACCAAACACACATATTATAATTAATTAATTAACGTATATTACAAATACGTACATATTAACGCATGGCAAAAAAAAGAAAAAAATGAATATGAAAAAAGAAAAAATGTGGGAAAAAAAACGATGAGGACGAACTACGAGCGAACACAAACAAAAAAATTAATTTTAATTTAACAACCACTACAACAACAGAGGCAAGAACAACGCTCGGCCCCGAAAGATGCAACGTGTGCAGCAAAAATCGTTTAAAATGCAAATTAAACGGAAACTGCGCGTCCAACTGGAGTGGAGTGCCATCGCGGTGGGCGGCTGTGGCCCGGTGGGCGTGGCCCTGCTCACACAGCAAAAAATCCAGAGGCCTCACGCCCACTCACCGCCCACCGCCCACGGATGACAACCAGGCCAAAAGGGGCGTAACCACTTTTAAGTAATGAGAAACCAACAAACGAAGGCAAAAAATGAAAAAAACACAAAAAAGGAAATCACAAAAAAATCAAGGGGGTTACTAATAAAACGATAGAGTTGAAAACAAAAAAAAACAAATCAGATAAAGCAAAAATGTTGCAATAATAGCGAAAATGTTATTATTTAATTGCGTATTATTAAAGGCAAATTATTATTACCATTATTATTGCTATTCTTAACGTATCTAAGTTGTAACTTTTAAAGTTAAAATCGATATATATATATATATATATATATATATGTATACATATATATACAAGAATATACACTCTTATACACGTAAATTAAACTGCAATATATACAAAGGGAATTACTTGAATCAAAACGCGAAATCCAACCACAAGTTATTGTACTTTCAACGATAATTATCGATTTAGCAACACTGGCGCGCAGAGGAGCTTGAAAACGTTAATCGGTATCGGTTGGGCTTAGTTTTCATTTCTCGACTGGGTTGGGGGTGAATCAAATCAAAATTGTGCTTACAATTATATTTATGAATTTATTTTAAAGTACAACAAATCCTTTATTGGCCAAAGTAAACAACAAAGAAACAAAAGCGAATGTGAGCAAAAGTCGAAGGCAATTTGTTATTAACTATGTTGAGGTTCTCTTTCTCATTATTTCAATCGAATCAGGGGAACTTAGAGGCAAAAAAAGAAGAAAACCTATAACTTTTGTGTTCACATTGAAAGCAAAATGGTAAATAATGCTAATTAAACAGTGGATAGTTAGACAAATATGTTAAAGCATTAAATATGACAATGAAAGCGAAGTGAGAGAGTGAATTTCCGTAGCTCGAGGCATAAATCAATTTATTTGCTAAAAACAATGGAGAATCCAAAACAATGAAAACTGCAGAAAGCAACTCCCTAAATATGTAAGAAACACACAATTTTTCAGATATAACACAGCACACACACATATACAAACACTCACAGACACACACACACACACACAGACAGGACACAGATCTTACGGATAAATCAAAAAGAAACACTTAAACAAATTAGTTGGTAAGAGCATATGCAAATATAACAATGAACTATTATACATACAACATATAGTACGATTAAGTAAATAAAATATTTATAAAACAAACGCGCAAAATCGCAAATGTTTGAACACTTAACTAAATATATCTGTAAACAAGCGTGTTAAAAGGATCACAGATGAGCGATGAGCCACATAAAAATGGTAGTGGAAAATTGGAAATGCGAATATGGTTATGGAAATCATGATGTCGAGTTGAAATGCAGGCCACGCAATGTGCAATTAATTTTTTTCTAGTCGCTCCGTCCGGCAAATCGCCCGGACGTCGGATGTACTAGGCATATTTGAGGATTATGACGATAACGACGACGATGCAATCGGGGGCGTAATAGAAAAATATATTTATATACAACTATATGGAGTATTAAATTATTGGAAAAGCAAAACCAAACAAAACCTATCAGCTAGATAAGTAAACGACATTTGTTACACACAGCAAGTGGGGGAAAATTGCGAGCAACACAAAAACCCAAAAAAAAAATAATAGCAGAGAGAAGGAAATATTCTATAATTGACAGAACAACAATACGTTGCGCTTTTTCTCTGTCTGAGATTTTTTGCATTAGGCGACGTAAAAACCAGATACAAAAAATAAAACTTAAACAAAAACCAAAGCAGAGACAGAGACAGGAAAAGCCAGTGGAAAAACAAAGCAAATGCCGAAACAGTGAAAATGTTCCTTTCATAACTTTTTTGCCAAATTGTCAAACCAACGCTCTCCAGGACTTTTGTCGAGTCTCGGACCAACAAACTTACACATTACCTATAAAGTAGAGGGAAATCGCGGGAACCGAAACCAAAAGAGCCGGACAAATACCATATACGATGTTTAAAGACGGACAAGAAATAGTTGCAGTGTAACATAAAGTACATTTAAACCCTAAAGTGTTGAGCCCCCCACACACACACACCGATCATTTCAGATTTTCCAAAGATCGCGTCTTGCGACTTTGCCATGTGCATCACACTTATAAATAATCAAAAAACAAAAGAAAACAGAAGGTAACAAATTAAGGAAGCGAAAAGACAGAAATCTTCAATTTTAGATAGACAAAGATCAGACCATGGGAGTTTGGAGGAGGACCTTTGCCGGGAGTGGATTACTTTAGAAGGTCACAGGTCATTGGGGAGAATTCCAGATGCAGCTTCTGCCCCGCGGGGCGGATATTTTTAAACGGGAAAGCTAGCGAAGGGCAGCAACGGCAAACATGTTATATTTGCATAATATATATATATATATATATTAAACCTACTTCTAAGGCATATATAAATATATAAATAAATATATTTTTAAGACATGTTCTAAAAGCAATAATTCAAAACAACAACCAGCGTGGCGGAGGCAGAATAAAATTGAAAAAAAAAACCACAAAAGGAATACATAAAATATACACCAATATATAAATATACATAAAGATATATACACCTACACGTAAATATATACATGCATACCAGATATATATATATTAAAGAAAGCGATTAGCTTGAGTCTGGAGAAATCATTTCGCAGGCAGCTAAGCCTGTGTTGCCACACTTCTTTAACTAGAGCCCCGATCCACGATCAGTGGGCCGGCAATCGTTTGGACTCGTATTATTTGTGGTGTAGGTGGACGAGGGATGGGGGTACCCCAGATAGTCTCGGGATCCCAGGTCCCACGTTACGTTTATAGTACGTTGTAAGTCGATGCAGCTTTAGGTGTAATGTTGAGTCTTTCCTAGAAGTTTCCCCAGCATTTCCCCGCTAACGATCGACTCTAGGCTTTCTGTTTGTGTTTTGTAGTGCTCTATGTATTCTATAAGAACCTTCTGCGGAAGCTATAGCCGATCAGAGACATATAACTATTGGTATACCGGATCAACTTCAGCCTAAAGAATACCGTAACAACAAGCAATGCGTCCTTGTAAACAAAATCAATTTCAGTCAATTAGAGAATTTCCAACACCAACCAGGCACAGAGACATAAAGACAACAACAAGCTACAAAAAAAAACATTTTTTAAAAACCAAAAAAAAAAGCGAACAAACAAAGACATAACAAAAAACAAACATTTTTCATTATTTTTTTACTGATGCGCCGTCAGAGCTAAGGGAATTCAGGATGAGATCGCGAGAGCTTGACGGCGCAGGCGCAAAAGCTTTAAATTGAACAAAATATGAATAACACGAACAAGGAGAACAATTTATAGAATTCGACAGGTGGGCTCTCTTTTTTATATCGAGAACGGAGAAGTGAGTGTATAAAAAAAGTATGCCGTAACGATTTTTTAAAAATAATGTACCCCATACTTTAAGCTATACGCAACTTTCGGTCAAAAAGTCAATTGGTGGTCGAAGCCGGGTAGGAAGCCAAAAGTTAAATATATAAACGAAAAGACATAAAGTGTAATGTAAAATAGTTTTAAATTGGCGAAACACCAGAAGACGACGATGATGATGATGAGGATTGGGTGTAGGCGGAGTTACGTAGTTACATATACGAATTGCTTTCCGTTTTTCTCTTATTATTGACTTACAAACATATCAGTTCTTATTATGTGTATGAGTATAGCAACAACATCAACAAATACGATTACAATTACGATAACGATTACGATAATGAAATACAATTTAACTAATATCTAGCGCTAACGAACGAAGAAACTTTCTGTTTACCAAAACCAAGAACAACAATAACCACACAGATGAGTAAGACAAGCCGACCAGCTGGCCTTTTTGAGAAGCGCAGAGAGCGGCGCAAAAGGGCGCCTGGCAGGACTTACGACTTGTGGGCCTTCTACACTTTGACGTGCTTTTATACGATAGCAATCCTTTAACTCACACGAGACATTTCTATCCTCGGTTCTTTTTTATAGACATGTGTACATACACCTCACGGCACTCACATAAACCACACACACTCACACACACACACCAATACACACTCAGCCACAGACACAGACACTGGCACACGCATATATACGATGGAGATCACATACAAAAGAACCTTCATACGAACGATCACTTGACTATTTTTGCTATAAGTAAGAAATTCCCCCCAGGAATGTGTCAGTCGGAAGTGGCAGAACTCCTGCTGACAAAACACCTTTACTATATTGACAATATCTCTTATATATTTTACACTATACTATATGGAAAATTATATATTAATATATACAAGAAAAATGAGGAAAACCAAAAACAAATAATACATAATTGAGGCAAGACGAACGGCGTGAGTGGCGTTAAAATTGTATTTACAAGAAATGCGTAACCAAGCAAGATGAAATCATTTTAATACTTTATACACATAAAAGTCAAAGGAATCTTTAGAGACAAAACCAGGCGGCAGATGAATATGCAACTACAAGACAGACAACAAGACGATGAAAATGAAAATGAAGATGAAGATACATTTATAAAATGCGCCATAGCAGGGCGTCCAGTTTGTAAGTATTCTAACTATGTAAGTAAAGTAATTAAGGAGCGCAGGACGAGAATCAATTAAACATACATACTGTCTACGAAGTCGCCGAGCCGAGAGCTTTGGCAACTTTCAGTGCGAATACTTTAACACAAATGAATCCAGATGGAATGGATGGGATGCGATGGGTTCGGGTGATTTGAAATCGGACACATTGGGGATGGGTTGATGATGAATGTTGGATGCGAAAATGGGGATGCGAGATTGCCAATGTGTGTACATAAGCATAAACATAACATAAACTGGTACAGTACTACACTTACAGCAAACTATACAAGGTAAAAGAACATAATAATTAACAGCCAGAAGGCGGGAGACACATACACATAAATAGAAGCATAACGAGAATTTAATAAACAGTTTTTCATTTCTATAAAGAAATCCGGTAACGAATTTGTATATTTACTACGAGAAAACGCATAAAACAAAAGACAACAAAATCCCAAAATATATACAAAAAGATATATATTAAAGGGAGGACAGACCCAAATAAAAAAAAACGAAGGCCGACGAACCTTTCTGAGAACAGCAAATATGCCCGTATATACATATATGAGAATAAAACCCAAAATGATATATATACATATATATACATAGTTATATAACCAAGAACAACAAATAACATATAGTTAAATTCAATAATGTTAAGCATTCGATGAGCAAACAGACAGACAGGCACGCATATTGGTGGCGAAAAGAAATTCAATTATGTATAAGGACCCTCGAACCGAAAAGAACATAACTATGCGGCCACCAACAACAATACCATGAACATCCTTAAAAACAACAACAGCAAATGCAACATTTATTAACAGACGACAAAAGGCAAATTGTTGCCTTCAACATACACACGAAATTACATAAGTTTTTAACAAACAACCATACACACCTTACCCACACCCACACACACACATTGAACACTCCCACTCACACATTCAACCCGCAATATGTATATGCAACAAAAAATGCGAACAACTTTAGCAGCAAATTAAAAATCACTTTGTTCACAATGTGCCACGTACAGGGAGGATATAGATGAGGTTCTTGGGGACTATCATCCATTGTCCCCTCGATCAGGTTAAGATCGGCAGTGCAATCGGCAGAATCAGCAGCAACAACAGAGATCAGCAACCGCATATTAAACGAAAAAAAAATGAAAAAACAAAAGAACAGAAAACTAAAACATGATTTTAAACAAAAATGAAATTAAATAATGGCATAATAAGTTAAGCTAATGGTACATAAGTTTAAAAAACAAACGGCAAGAAACGCTCTAGAGCAACAAAAAAAAACAAGAAGAACAGAAAAAACCAAGACAAACAAATATATATATATATATAAAATAAAAATTATAATGAAATAACTGAGAAATAAATAAATTAATTCATAATGATAAATAAACCAATATGAACATTGTTCAAAAACATAAGCTGTACAAGTGTTTTTTACTGGGTTGTCGAGGTGGATATTTTAAATGGATTTCTAACGATCTAAAGGTATGGTATAACAATTATTAGTATCGAATCGAATATTATTTAGTTTTATCTTACCTACTTTTCCAAGTAGTTGTTCACAAAATATAAGCTACAGCTCAGAGGTCCTATATTTTCCTTACTATTTCCTTTTGCAAAACTAAAACGCGACTTAGTAAAACAAACAACAACCATTTTATTTAACAGGATATTTACAAGACAACAAGCGGGGCAGTGAAATCAAATCCACTCAGGATATCGGGTAGTACACTATCGTAATGCGGGATTAGCGCCACTCAGCTGGACTTTTTGAGCTTCTTGGCCTGCTGTCGTTCATCCCACCATTTGGCATACCACTTGGCACTCCGCTCGGCACTCGCATCCGGATCGAACAGGGGCATGTAGTCCATGTGGATGGAGGCCCTTAGCCGATTGTACATCAGCATCGAGGAAGTATAGGAGGCGAGGGCACGAAGGGAGTACCGCAGGCGGAACTTGGTATAGGGATAAGCCAATCGAACCACCACCTCCAGCAGGAAGGCCAGGAAGAAGAACAGGAAGTGGGGAATGTACCACCAGCTCGTCTTCACCTTGAACCGCTCGCCCAGCACCGCCATCTTCTGGACAAATCGCGAGACATCGTTGATGCCCGTGTCATCGGTGACGAACACGGGAAGTCCGTTCACCGCCTTATCGGATACTTTCAGTGCCTTGTAGGCACAGATATGTCCCCAGGCCACATTGCCAGCGTATACCAACTGCTGTTTGCCTCCCACGCCCGCGATCCTTGGGAATACCCATCCTCGGGTGGAAAGGTACTCAAAGACCTCCGTGATGAAGTGCGAATCACACTCGCCATATGTCAAGGGAGCTCGAATGGCGCTGGTGGCCAGGTATTCTATAAGAAATGGATATATATTGGTAAACTAATGATTGTTTCCTTTAAAAAAAATATCTAAAAACTAAGACTATAGCTTTAAACTTCTCAATAAAATTTTGTCTTTCCTTGAAACTTTGTTTACTATTTAAATTTGGAAATAACTATTTTAACTGGTTTAATTTAAATGGGTTATTAATTATTATTATGGGCTAGGTTTCGTATCTATTCGATTGAACTCACCATGCTGGTTCTGTAGAGGAGCTCCATTGGAGTTGAGCACTATGTTCTCCGCCCTCAGCTTGCTGGAGGCGTATCCTGGTATCAGGAACTGGTTATCCTGATCCCACAGACTGGAACTGTCGAGTGTGGGGGTGTCTGTCTTGGATTCCGTGGAGTTAATTACCGCCGAGAAGGTACTACGTCCCTTAAAGGGCACAAAACAAACGGATGTACAGCTAGTATAGACCAAACGTTTAACATTGTTCTGGATGCACAGATCTACTACGGCCAGGGTTCCTAAAATTGGACCAAAATAAAATATTGCGTGTCATGATGAGTTAAAAAACAAGTTTAGTGGTTCACTGATCTAATTTTAGTTGTTCACCTACTTGGGATCATCTCAAAGTGGTTTAAGGCCCATCATAATCAAAGAAATTTTACCTCGAATTACCTTTCTTATGGGGTACTTTGTCTGCTCACTCACCGTTTATGTTCACGCGTTCCAGTTCGTCGTAGTTGGGGGGAAACTCGATTTTCACCGAAGCGGCACAGTGGAAAACCCCGTCCACCCCATTGAAAATGGGATTAAGTGCCTCCCGATCGCCAGATATATCGGCCACAAAGGTGCGCAGCAGGGGCGTCTCCTCATGCCCGATGTTGTTCTTGTAGGGCACTATGTCCAGCGAGCGGATCTCTTTGATACCCAGCTCCTCCTTCCGCTCCAGCAACTGCTTGATGAGGTGCTGACCCAGAAATCCACTGCCGCCGGTTACGAGCAGCACTTCTCCGCCTTTGTTGCTCATTGCGTCCGGGGTTCAAAGTGCACTGCCTTTTGGTTTAACTGCAACGAGACGGACTGCAGGTTAGTTTGGAACTGGCTCGAGTAGTTAAGTGGAGTTTCCGTGAGAGTGGCTTTTATGGTCGTCAGACCCATAAACCCGGCCACTTTGATATCACACATAAACTGGCTCATCATCAGCCGGCGACCTTCTTCGGGGGTCAGCGGAGCAGGTTTCCGAGTGACTCGGCGCGTTTTCAAAATGCTCGGCTTACGTGACGCCCTGGCCCCGCTTATAAAAATGGATAATATACATATGTGAGCACTTATAACTCATGGTTGGTGTAATCAAAGTTTTCCTGATTACTGAAATTATATATCTTCATGATTTGTGGAATCTACATTACTTAGATTACTGGAAATATTTACCAAGATTTTATTTAAAGTTTGTTAGGAAATATTTATACAAAAACTTTTATGGAAAATAATTGCACTGATCATAAACAAACATTTTTAAATATTAACTTTGGTTAAAAAAAAACATATAAACTTAATATTCAATTGGTTATCAAAAGTTTAATTTTAAAATCAGAGATCGAACCACAAAAATAAATTCCTAATATTAAATTTGTTATCAAAAAATTACTTAAATTACTACTTAAGTTATAATCACCAATCTATTATTTTAACTAACCTTCTTTTAAAACATGACCTTATTTATTATGGTAATAATTGCATTCATATTTTTAGATTGCCAAAATTGACTGCTAACTTGCTAATTAAGCAAACCAAAACATGGGGAAACAGAAGAGTTTTGCAAGCTGCCTAAAAAGTTTGCCAAAAAGGTCAGACATTAACAAAAAACTAGTTTTAGAAAAAGGGAAAAGTTAAAGAAAACTCATATGCTGATTAAAATCAAGATACATCCGAAAGTCCATTGACACTTTGGCTCCATGGCTTTCGATTTCTACTTCCCCTTAGTGTGTTACTTGGCCACGGTCAACTTTTGTGTGATTTTAATAGACGCAGTCCAGCGACTAAGGCCGTTGAGCAAACTCAAAAAAACAAAACACGAATGGTAACAGCAGCAACATCTGCAACAGCAACATCTGCAGCAGCAACATCTCAGCAGCAACACCAGAAACATGCCTAAATGTGCTAATGTTGACGCAGGGCTGACTTTAGATTACAACACAGCATCATAACAATTACCGCGAACTGGTTTCCGTGTCTATTTCGACATGCATGTCAAGTCAACACTCAAATTTGGCATTTTTGCCTGGCCATTTTGGCCACTTAACGTAATAGCACTTGTCCACCTAGAAGACCGAAAATCTAACTTTAATTGGGGAGAAAACCCCGCTTACCAGAAGAAGGGAGCTCTATTTGGTGGGCAAACCTTTGGGCTTGCCTGCTGACTTGAAACTGTCTCTTGTTGGCCATAAACAAAGCTGGCTAAGACGCGAAGCGAGCGTTGCCAAACCGCTGGGCTATCGACATCGCTGCTATCGATCGCAGCAATCGTGCTTTTGGCGCCAGAAATCGAAAGCTTTTCGAAGTACACGGCATTTTGGTAAAAGGTAATTTTTATTCAACAACAATTAAATGAATGTGGACAGTAAGTACGCTTAGTGATTATATAAATAGTTGTCTTCTTTTCCCATGCATTTTGGGGGTGCTTAGGCAATTGCAATATTCAATAAGTACAGTGGTAATTGTTTTCGTTGCATCTCATTCAATAACTTTCTTATATATCTTTATAAACTCCCTGGTAGATGTATAAAGTAAACGAGAAGTAAAGGCCGTTGATACAAATGACTTTGGATTAGATTAGGATTAGGCGCGCTTAACCATTAACCATTAACGAGTACGGGGAATACAATTACGGATATACAATTACGAATACAAAACGGTGTTTAGTACAATTAAAAATTCTGTTCACATTTCGGTTTGGTTTATTACAACAATATCATGTAAATGCCGATGTAGGCGCCCCCTTCCGTGTGTATGTACTTAGGTTTATGGAGGCCTATTGGGGTGTATATAAGTTGTAAGTTGTAAGTACCGATTGACTCTGCCGACTGCTTGGTGGATTACATTGCATCTTCGCAAACATAAATAATGGGACATAATATATTACA